TTTTTTTTTTTTTTTTTTTTTTTTTTTTTTTTGGTTTTTCAAGAAAGGGTTCCACTGTGTTGCTGTGTAGCCTCTCCTGGGACTCACTCTCTAGATCAGGCTGTCCTCAAACACACAGAGATCTGCCTACCTCTGCCTCTCAAGTGAGGGCTGGAATTAAAGGTGTGTACCACCACCACCACCACCACCACCACCATCACCAAACACCTTGTGTTTTACTTTTCAAAAGTTTGTCACTTGGTGTCATATTGCCCATCTTGCAGAACTATGCTTTTCTAGAGAAATTTCTTTTCAAAATGGGGTTTCTCAGGGTAGCTTTCTCATTTCCTGGGACTGTGTAGCCCAGGCTGGCCTTGAACTCACAGAGATTCGCCTGCCTCTGTCTCCTGAAAGCCTTGATTAAAGGCGTGAGCCACCACCACCCAGAATTATGCTTTTCTAAAGAAGAAATTGGAACTTTATGACATGCCAGGACTTAAGGTTGGTTGAGAACCTGTAATGCCTCAATGAGCAGCTTGTTAGATATTCTTTGATATCGGGTTAGGCCTAGTGACTTCTTGGAAATGAGCAGTGTCTCCTTTGTAATGCTTTGGAGCCAAGTATCTGGAGAATCCTGGTGAACAAATGTGTATCCTACTGTCCTAATCTCTAACAGGCCTGGAGAATATACTTATTCTATGTTTTTTAGGCAGTACTCTCTTAGCTAAATTCGATTTTGAGAGACTGACTATCTCCAAAGAATAAGTGAATCCTTTATATCACTAATTCTACTCTTCTAGATCACACCTTAGTACTGGAGTGCTACCCAACACATGAGATGCCTTTTACAACCTCCACAAAATTAATGAAAAAGGGATCTTAAACATGAAAGGTAAATGCAAAGTGCTGAATCTCTAGAAGGTACTGGAGAAACTAGGCCTCTTCTAATTTAACAACATGCTCTTGTGGAAGTGTCCCCAAACAACATGAGCACACAGCTGCATGACAGGCTTAGGGGACCAGACAGACCTTCAGTGACAGGCTTCCTGGCAAGAAACACCCAGATTCAGGAAAAGACATAAGCTTATACCACCCAGAGATCCACTGAAGGATGGGAAGCACCTAACATCCCAAACATTCCAAGAATTAGATAAGGTGGCCAAATATCTCTGAATCTAGCACACACCTATTTTTGTTTTTCAGACACCTCTAGACAATAGTCAGCCAATCAGGGTCCTGAATTCTGGAAATTTCCGCACCCCAACCACTGCTATTATGAAATCCTAATCCCACCTGAGGCCAGGGTTCTTTGCTCTCCCTGCTGTGAGGGACAGACATACCAAGCCCCAACTTGAAAATAAAGGCTCTTTGCTTTCACTTATGGGATACAGTCTCCATAGTGGGTTTTTGGTCATCCCCACAATCTGGGCATAAATATTTCAAACAAAAATAATGTTGAAGTTGATTACAAACATCTTTCTACACACAGCTCCCTGCTCCCCATTCTGTCAGTGGAATCAGCCAACAGAGCAAAGTTATTCAGAGGCCTTCCCTAGGACTAGGAAGTTTCAAAGACCACATGGAACCTCACAGGACAGGGATTCTGGCTGGAGGTTCCCACCCATACCTGGGGAGGCCCCACCACACTGTCTCCTGCACCTTATGATCTGCCCCACCCCATCTGGGGACAGCAGCCCCTCACTCACCATGTTGTGGGTTCCCAGCTTGTCCATGCTCTCTGCAGCTTCCTGCAGCAGCACTCACAACACAGCACACAGAATCAATGGCACCTTCTCCTCTTCGGAGTCAAGCCTGAAGCTGGCTGCTAGAAGAACCTTGAACTACTTCTGATAGACAGGTCGCCTGGAGGGCCTGATTGGCTAGTGAGGCCTGAGTGAAAAGAGAACATCCCATAGGGTTACACTATGCTTAAAAACACAAACTGCCTCAGCTTTCTGTGTGCTGGCTTTAGAGATGTGCATGACCATCAAGCAGCTGAAGGTGGGTAACACACGAAAGGATACAGATTAAAGATTTGACTTTTGTTGTTGTTGTTTCAAGACAGTGTTTCTCTGTGTAGCTTTTGGAGGCTATTCTGGAACTCACTCTTTTGACCAGGTTGGCCTTGAATTCCCGAAGATCCACCTGCCTCTGCCTTCTGAGTGGTGGGATTAAAGGCGTGTTAAAGATGGGTCTTTAACTTCAAAACTTTTCAAAAAAAAAATCCCTAACAGGTGCTCCAAACTCTTTGGGCTTTAGTTATTCTAGACTTAGTTGGTTTGTTTACCAAGAATAGTCATCACAACAGATGGGACAGATGAAATGAGAAAGATTTCAAACCTGCAGGAGGCAAGGTGAAATTGGGAGTTATTTCCAAAACAATGTTTTTCCTAAACAAAAAAGCATGGGGATTTTACATAGGATATCTGGATATGTTCATGCAGAGTTCTTCCTCTTCCTAAGCATGCTCAGCTAACAAATACACTTCTGAACATTATCACAATGTACAAGCAAGGACAGTGTTACTTCAAAGTCATGCAGAAACATATAAATTATAAAAATGATCAAAACAAATGCCTCTGACATGTTCATCTTGTACCACAAGGTCTTACCTGAAAATCAAGCCAATGAGCTGGTCAAAATCGATTGCTTTGGAGCCTATGTGACCTGTCAGTCTTGATATTTGATCTAAAAGGTAACATACCAATGCCACAATTCTCCCATATACAAAAGATAAAGAACACAAATACAGGAAGCATCAAGGAAAAGTCATCTAACAGCACAGTTTACTCTGTTCCTAGATGAACAGTTATGATCAGTTCTATTAATGTTAGAACAAAGCTACTTTTGCTTCTGAGCAGGATGGCTTGGCAGGAGGCCACAGCTGCTTCCATGAAAGACCTAAAGAGTTCATTTTAACTAGCCCTGGCCGTTGTCTGTCCCAGGGCTGTGACATCACTGGAGAGAATTCCATTCTTTCTTTTGTCTAACTTTTCTTTTCTTTTCTTTTCTTTTGTATTTGTAAATTATTTTATATTTTAATTTAATTTTACATATCAGCCATGGATTCCCATTTCCTCTCTCCTCCCGCCACCCTTCCCCTCAACTTACCCCCCATTCCCATCACCTCCAGGGCAAGGACTCCCCTGGGGATTCAGCTCAGCCTGGGAGATTCAGTAGAGGCATGTCCAGTCCCCTCCTCTCTACACCCAGGCTGAGCAAAGTGACCCTGAATAGCACCCATGCTCCAAACAGCCAGCTCATGCACTAAGGACAGGTCCCAGTCCCACTGCATGGGGACCTCCCACACAGTTCAAGTTAACCAACTGTCTCACTTATCCAGAGGTCTTGATCCAGTTGGGGGGGGCACTTCAGCTATTGGTTCACAGTTCATGTGTTTCCACTAGTTTGGCTATTTGTCCCTGTGCTTTTTCCAATCTTGGTCTCAACAATTCTTGCACATACAATACCTCCTCTTTCTTGCTGATTGGACTCCCAGAGCTCCTCCTGGGGCCTGGCTGTGGATCTCTGCATCTCCTTCCATCAGTCATTGGATGAGAGTTCTACCATGACAGTTAGGGTGATTGACCATCCAATAACCAAAGTAGGCCAGTTCGGGCTTTCTCTTGACCATTGTCATTAGTCTATTGTGGAGGTATCTTTGTGGATTTCTGAGGACCTCTCTAGCACTTTGCTTCTTCCTATTCCCATGGGGTCTTCACTTATCATGGTATCTCTTTATTTGTTCTCCCTCTCTGTTCTTGGTCCAGCTGAGATCTCCTGCTCCCCTAAGCTCTGTTTCCCTCAATACTTGCCCTTCATTACCCCCCACATGTCCAGTTTTCTCATGTAGATCTCATCCATTTCTCTGTTGTTGGGTGATCCCTGTGTCTTTCTTTGGGTACTCTTTACAAGGTAACCTCCCTGGAGTTGTGAGTAGCAGTCTAGTCATCCTATGTTTTACATCTAGTATCCTCCTATGAGTGAGTACGTACCATATTTGTCTTTCTGAGTCTGGGTTACCTCACTCAGGATGATTTTTTCTAGATCCATCCATTTGCCTGCAAATCTCATGATGTCATTTTTTCTCTGCTGAGTAGTACTCCATTGTGCAAATGTTCCACATTTTATTTATCCATTCTTCAGTTGAAAGGCATCTAGGTTGTTTCCAGGTTCTGACTATTGCAAGTAATGCTGCTATGAACATAGCTGAGCATGTGCCCTTGTGGTATGATTGAGCATTCCTTGGGAATATGCACAAGAGTGGTATATTTGGGTGTTGGGGGAAATGGAACTTCCTCTAAAATCAATCACATACTTGGAAACAAAGCAAATCTAAACAGATCCAAAACAATTGGAATAACCTCCTGTGTTATATCAGACCACCATGGTTTAAAGTTAGATTTCAACAACAACAAAAACTACAGAAAGCCTACAATCTCGTGGAAACTGAATAATGTTCAACGGAATCACCAATGGGTTAAGGAAGAAAGAAAGAAAGAAAGAAAGAAAGAAAGAAAGAAAGAAAGAAAGAAAGGAAGGAAGGAAGGAAGAAAGAAAGAAAGAAAGAAAGAAAGAAAGAAAGAAAGAAAGGAAGGAAGGAAGAAAGAAATTAAAGCCTTCCTAGAGAGCAATGAGAATGAATATACCACATAACGAAATTTAAGGGACACGATGAAATGAATGCTAAGAGGGAAATTCATAGCACTAAATGCCCACATAAAGAAGATGAAGAAATCTCACACTAGTGACTTAACAGCACACCTGAAAGCTCTAGAACAAGATGAAACAACATCATCCAGGAGGAATAGAGGCCAGAAAATAATCAAATTGAGAGCTAAAATCAATAAAATATAAACAAAGAGAACAATACAAAGAATCAATGAAACAAAGAGTTGGTTCTATGAGAAAATCAACAAGATAGACAAGCCCTTATCCAAACCAACCAAAAGGCAGAAAGAGAGCATCCAAATTAGCAAAATCAGAAATGAAAAGGGAGATATAACAACAAACAGTGAGGAAAGCCAGAGAATTATGAGGTCATACTTCAAAAATCTGTACTCCACAAAACTGCAAAATCTAAAGGATATGGATAATTTTGTAGATAGGTACCACATACCTAAGTTAAATTGAGACAAGATAAACTATTTAAATAGTCCAATAACCCCTAAGGAAATAGAATCAGTCATTAAAAGATTCCCAACCAGTGCTGGAGAGATGGCTCAGTGGTTAAGAGCACTGACTGTTCTTCCAAAGTACCCAGGTTCAATTCCCAGCACCTACATGGCATCTTACAACTGTCTGTAACTCCAGTTCCAGGGTCTGATACCCTCACGCCAATGCATATAAAATAAAGTTAAATAAATTTAAAAAAATCTAATACAGGACACTCAGAAACCCAGCCTGGAAGCGGACCTCAGGCATGGGCACAGGCAGATGGGGGAGCTGTTTGCAGGGAGAAAATATCTCTCAAAAAAGACTCCTAACCAAAAAAAGTCCAGCACCAAATAGTTTCAACTCAGAATTCTCAAGATCCTCAAAGAAGAGTTAATACCAATACTCCTTAAATTGTTCCACACAATCATCACTGACTGGGCAGAGCTCTTGGACTGTGCCTGGGCGCCATTTCTATGCCCACTTTAGACATGTAAATAAAACTTCACCCTCCCATCAGAAAAAAAAAAACTCTTTCTATGAGGCTACAATTACCCTGATTCCCAAGCCAAACAAAGATGCAACAAAGAAAGAGAACTACAGACCAATCTCCCTTATGAACATTGATGTAAAAATACTCAATAAAATACTGTAAAACAGACTCAAAGAACACATCAAACAATTATCCCCCATGATCAAATAGGCTTCATCCCAGGGATGCAAGGGTTGTTCAACATATGAAAGTCTGTCAATGTAATATACCATATAAACAAACTGAAAGGAAAAAAAAATGTGATCATGACATTAAATGTTGAAAAGGAATTTGACAGTATCCAACACCTCTTCATGATAAAGGTCTTGGAGAGATCAGGAACACAGGGAACATACCTAAACATAATAAAGGCAATTTACAGCAAGCCAACAGCCAACATCGAAGTAAATGGAGAGAAACTCAAAGCAATTCTATTAAAATCAGGAACAAGACAAGGTGGTCCACTCTCCCCATACTTATTTAATATAGTACTTGAAGTTCTAGCTAGAGCAGCAAGACAACATAAGGAGATCAAGGGGATACAAATTGGAAGGGAAGAAGTCAAGCTTTCACTATTTGCAGATGACATGATAGTATATATAAGTAGTCCCAAAAATTTGACCAAGGAACTCACACACTTTATCAACACCATCAGCAATGTAGCAGAATACAAGAGTAACTCAAAAAATCAGTAGCCCCCCTATATACAAATGATAAATGGGCTGAGAAAGAAATCAAAGGTAGATCACCCTTTACAATAGCCACAAATGATATAAAATACCTTGGGGTAACTCTAAGAAAACAAAGGACTTGTATGACAAGAACTTTAAGTCCCTGAAAAAAGAAATTGAAGATGTCAGAAAATGGAAAGATCTCCCATGGTCATGGATAGGTAAAATTAACATACTAAAAATGGCAGTCTTACCAAAAGCAATCTATAGATTCAATGCAATCCCTGTCAAAATACCAACACAATTTTTCAGAGACCTGGGAAGAACAATACTCAAGTTCATCTGGAAAAAACAAAGAAACAAACAAACAAACAACAAAAAGAAAAGGGATAACCAAAAGAATCCTGTACAATAAAACAACTTCTGGAGGCATCACAAGCCCT